GAAGCTCTGGTTCTGCTCACAGAGCTCGCACAAGTTCCTCCCTTTCCTCTTCTTCCTGTGATCATACATGTTTCTTAATATTTCTGCAGCATTCCTGGACTCTTTAAATGGTCATGGTGGCTGCCAATTTGTATCCAAACAAGAGACTGTGGAGTAGCCACCTTCCTAAGGAACACCCTGTGTTGGAACCAGCAGTTAGCGTAATGCCTATGTTGCTGGACTCCCACGTAGTCAACCGCGGTTCGCGTCCCAGACCCGGTGGCTTAAAACTCACGCTGGGCGCATGTGCGTGCGTGCCCAGGATCCCGAGAGGAGAATGGAGGAGAAGGGATTGTGGCATGACCCACCCTGGGGGGTGATTTCTCGCTTTCTATCTCTATATCTCTCACTGTCTGTCTGGCGAGCGTACGTGCCCTATAGCGAAAACCTCTCCAAAAAAAAAAAAAAAATAGGAACACCCTGTACTGATTTTCAGAGCACAATCCCTGCCAGTCTCCACAGGAGGGAACAAACAAGACACCCCTAGATTCACATTACACTATCAATACTTACTAGTTGGGTGACCTTAGGCAAGATACTTAATCCTTTAAGCCTCAATTCTTCATGAATAAAATAGACTAAGTATTATTCATCTTGTAGTGATATTGTAAGAACTGAATTATATTAGGTTGTTGGGAAAGTCATGCTCTGTTTTTGTATGCAAAAATGTTTCATGACCTTCCTGACAACCCAATATATAGGGGATATGTATGTGTCTGTATACACACACACACACACATATCCTAGCAAAATTAATCAGCTCTCAACAAATCACAGCTCATTTCATGGCAAAGAGTGGCAGATTATCACCTGTCTCAGCCCAGAGAGTCTGCCAGGTGTTCGAAAAACCAGCAAGATGTCTGGCAAGCCATGGTCAGCCTGCCTCCTAGGAACAGGCCCGGGATTTGAGCAGAGCCTTCACTAATAGCTGAGTCTACTACATAGCTGGAGGCATTGGACAACCTTCTAGGAGAAGTAGCCATTCTGAAAGGGCCATCTGTCTGGCATCTTCTTGGCTCAAAGGAAAGAGTCACTATGGCCACAGCTCAGCCTCTCAAGGGAGAATGAGTTCTGTCATCCTTGGCTGGAGTCCCCAGCATGCCACCATCTCCCGTCCCCACAGTGATACCACTTACGAACATGTCTCTGCTATAATCAGAGACCTATTCACAGAACTGAGAATACTGCAGTTTAAAAACAAAACAAACAAACAAACAACCCAAAACCTATTTTGGAGGGTCTCATCAATCCTGCAAGTACTATGTTAATGCCTAAGTCAGTGCTCTATGACAGCCCTCTAGCTGCTCTGGCAGTCAGAGCAAAGAGTCACCAAAAATCCAACACGTCTCTAACCCATTCTTTGCCCTTCTGGCTGCAGTGGGCCTGTGCTCTCTGCTGCTTGCCATGGGATGCTGTCGAACCTCTTGATTTTCCCATTCAGCCTTCACGTGGGGCTCAGAGATCAGCATTCTCTGGAGACCTTCTCACCTCTCTTATGTTTCTCAAGCACTGGGCTCTGTGATGGTGCTGAAAAAGAGTCAGTATACCCCAGGCTTGAAGTGCTCACAGTCTGCTATATGGTGCACACAGTCAACCAGACAGCAATAGCACTGCAAGACTGCTACAGGACAGACAGTGCACAAGGGTGGGGACAGCAGGAGGACAGTGTCAGCAAAACATTTGGAACATTGGTGGTGTTTTTAAAAAATAATTATTTAATTTTAGTTATTGTTATTTTAAATTTGCTATAGGGCACATGAGCTCGCCAGAGAGAGAAAGAGAGGGAAAATGAGAAAGCAAGCTGCCAGATCTGGGACTCGATCTGCAGTTATTCCTGTGAGAGTCCAGCACCTTAACCACCATGCCACCTGCTTGCCCAGTGGTGTTGCTAGAATAACCTCAACACCCTAAGTTGGTGAGTTATCCACAGCAAGAGAGACATCGACCCACAGACTCCCTATGTACCCACCATGCCTATGCTTGAGTGCTCCAGAATTTAGCCCAATGGAGTGGTGTTCACGGCCAGGCATCACAGCTCAGAGAGCCCTCCTCAGGCCTTGAAGGGAATTGGATCATAGGACAAGAAGACTAGGAAGGTAGGAGCGTCCATACAAGCAAAGATAATTACAGCATGAAGAATTAGCACCAAAGCTGTCCTTACTGAACACCTTGTGAATGTTATGAACATTGCATACATTACCTCATAGAGTCCTGGACAGATAGATATCAATTTTCCCATCACTTTAAATAAGGATAGAAGAGCCAGAAAGGAAAAGTAAATAGTCCAGAGTTATACTTTGTACTGGAACTAGAATAGAACAGTCCATGAAGCCTGTGGTCTTTAGAAGATACCACCCAGCCATGGAGGTAAGAATCATGCCTAGGAAGTGCTGAATTCTTCCAAACATCCTGAGCTATTGCAGTAACAAATGATTTCAAAACCTCAGTAGCTTGGCACTTGAAAGTCGATTTCTCTCTTAGACCCACTCTGGGAGGGGGGTGGAGTTTTTGATCTAGAGTGTTGCAGTCACTGAAGTGGAAGGAAAAAAGAGACTGGAACATCCCACGGGGTGTTTCCCTGCCTCAGCCCAGAAGCGCCAGGTGCCACTTCATCATGTCATCTTCTGGCCCTGCTCACAGGTGGCACAAGGCACCTGGGACATGTAGCCTTCTACTAAAGAAAGTATTTGGCGAGCATTGCTAACGACTTCCATAGACCCCGAATGAAAAGAAAACTCCAAGGAAAAAAGTCCCTTTGTGGAGTAATAGGAGTAAAATGATACTGAGTAAAATGTAGGCAGGAGGACCCTTCACTCACGCATTTAACAGGGGCTTTCTGAACACTAGGGCTAGGTTCTGGGATTCAGCTCCCCTGTTTTTAGTGCTCACTGCCACAGTAATTGTGCTGCCCTTTCAAGAGCACCATAGGAAAGATGCACCAAAGCCCAGTGAGGGAAGCTGGAAGACCTCGAGGGGTAGGTACCAATAAAACACTCACGTGATCACCAAGTGAAATGGAGATCAAGTTGCCAGCTTGCTAAGGGCCACCGAGTGGAGACTTACATGGCTCAACATCATTAGTTGTGCTCTTGAGACACCCACTTTTTAGAATCCACACACAAAACGGGATACAAAGATTTTCAAATCAGGTCAGGAAAAGTTAGCATTAGATGGATATTTTTCCCAAACCCATGAAAAGATAGACCAGGAGATATACTCCTTCATGGTAAAAGAAATGCAAATCAAAACTACACTAACTTGGCATTCCTCTATCAGATGGGTAAAGATCCTCAAGTCTGGTAGCATACTCTGTTGTTGAGGTATTGAGAAAAGAGGCATTCTCATATCCTATCAGAAGGAAGCAGATAATGACATAATCGCTAGCAATGGGGCCTATCCAACATTTATCAAAGTTTAATGTGTGTATACTCTTTGATGGGCAGTTTCATTTTTAGAGATTTATGCTAAAAATACATTTGTACACTTACAAAAGGTTATGTGTATAACATTATTCAACACGGCATTGTCAGTAAAAGATTGGAAATAACCCAAATGTCCGTATTAACAGACTGGTTTAAAAATACTGTTTTTCTATACACTGGGATGCTCTACGTCTGTAAGGAAAATAAAGAATGAGGAAGTTTACCATGTCTTATCAAGCTTAGCAAGAATATCAAGATATGAGCTAAGGGGAAAGCTTAAGCTACATTATGGAGTAAGCTACTTTTATTGTAAGAAGGAATAAAATCGGAAATCTATATTTGTTGATTATATATTTATGAGAATGCTTAAGAGTAATTATCAGGATAGGTTAGGTTATGCTGCAGTAACAAAATGACTTAAGATCTCACTGACTTATACAACAAAGTGTTATGTCTTGTTTAGACCTCATGTTCATAATAGATTGGCTATACCTCTGACCCATATCACCCTCACTGTGAGATCTTGGCTGATGGGCTAGCCCCTGGAGGAATTCTGCAAGTTTCATGGCAGAGAGAAGGGAATATGGCGGACCATAAATTGGCCATTAAACCTATTATGTGGGTGTGGACCAGATGATTTGTCTGCTCACGTGACATTGACCAAGCAAGTCACATGACCACTACTTACTGCACCAAGACAATAATGTGTATCCTATCGAGGAAAGCATCTTAAATCACCTGGTCAAACCTGATGCCAATAGAGCAGGCAGGTATAAGCCTCCAAATGAGAGAGGAACAACTAATTATGAACAGTAATGCCATATGCTGCTAAGAAATTAATATAGTAATAATTACCTAGGAGATAAGGTTGTAGAGCCTGAGAAGATGAGAAATAACAGTAAGATGAACACTTTGCACTTAGCACATATACACTTGAACCATGGAAATATATTATTATCTATTCAACAAAGAATTAAGTCAGGTAGCTACATAAAAATATTTCCACATCTCCCTTCCCTGTGATAGACTATTGGATGCATAATCTGAATCTACAGTATGTTCCTGACATCTTATTAATGACAGTTCCTAATAATTCTCGCTCAAAAGCCTGTCAAGTAACTCAGAGGAGTTCCAAGGCAGTTCCTCACATTCCTTTAAGGACGAGTAATGGTTGGGGGAACCTGGAGGGATTAAGAGTCTGTACCTAGCTGAGATCCCAGGTGGTTCGGGGGGAGCATCATATTCACATGGACCTTCACACATGTGGGATACCAAGAACTCGGGATGGGATGGATAAGAAGAAAACCCAGGGCACCTGACAGACATGTAAGAAGCAGGTGATAAAACCTCATGGGATACTGGCAGGGCAGGGGCTTCCAAAACCCACTAGAGAAAAGCAGGACTTCCTCGAGAGGTTAAAGATAATCATTTGAGTATCCAACTGCTTCATGAAGGGATGCCTTTCCATAAAGATGGGGGCTTCCCTGTTGTGCGCATGACCAATCATTCTCTCCCATGATACCCACTTCTGTCTTCCAGTATCACTTCAACCCCTCGCAGTCTGTCCTGGTGATGGAAGGTGATGACATTGGGAACATCAACCGTGCCCTCCAGAAGGTCTCCTACATCAACTCCAGGCAGTTCCCAACAGCGGGTGTGCGGCGCCTCAAAGTCTCTTCTAAAGTTCAGTGAGTGGATGCTGGCCAGCCCAGGGCCCGACTAAGGCAGCAGGGATGGTCCTTGGGGAATATTCACTTTTAAACTGCATTTGCCTTTTCTTCAACTGTCCACAACCCCCCTGCTATCCCTGTGAGGATGCCTCAATGGCTCTGTGTTCTCCTTTTGTTTTCTTCTTTACAAAAATGATCTCTTGTTTTGCTAACTCAAATTCACTTTTCTCCATTTTATTCTGCAATATAAGGCCTGTCAGGTACTGCTTCTATAAATTCTCAGAGAACTAGATTTGAAATGGTCTGATTTAAGGGCATAGCACCTGGTACATAGAAGATGCTTGACAAATGTTTATTAAATTGAATTATATTAGCCAACTCTGCTTCATAGAGTTCCTAAAGATCCAATTTGTTCTGGAGAAAGAGAAGACTTGGTTCTTGTCTCCAGAGACTTAGGTCGAATTAGCTAGATGAGACTATTACTAAAGCCTGTTGATAATCCACTTACTGGACTATCAGAAGACTTCTCAGCCACAGCAGCTACTTGGGAGGGAGGGGTAGTGAGAAAGGGGACTCTGGACTCCAGGGGTGTGGAAGTGGCACTCAGAGGCAAGAGCAGGACTTAGAGGAACAAGGGACAGCTGGGTCTGTTATCTGCCACACTGCTGGGCCTGGGACAGGTGGCAGTTACATTCCATAGTTTAGAGTAATAGATTGGATGCCCCCATCCCGAGAGTCCTGGGAGATAGGAAGCAGGCACCTCTAACTCAGTTCTACATTGGAGTGAAGAAAGGACCAGGCTGGCCAGTATCTAGCTCTGAAATCAGGATCTGCAAAGTGGTGAAGGAAGGGAACACTCGGATTGGCATAGCGGAGGCAGGAGAAAAGTGGGAGCAGGAGCCCACCACAGCTCCCACACCTTGCTCACCCCATAGAAGAGAGTGGGATGGCCCAGCATGGGGTCCACTCAGACGTCCCTTCCTTGAGGGACTTTTCCAAGGCTTGCAAGATGATAGCCAAAGCCAGTTGGAATCCACCTGTTATTCCCAGAACATCTCTTTGGCCCCTTAGTCCCCTGGGTCTTTGGCTTAGATGACCAGCAGAGAGTATCAGCAAGCTGTGCTATGGTCTGATGATAATCAGATCAACCCATATTCACTGAGCTTTTAAGCCACAATACAAATCTGGTCAGCTTCTTTTCTTATGTTATCTGCATTTAATCCTTCCTTCTGTAGAGTAATTATTGTTATCTCCATTGTAGGCATGAAGAACCTGAGGTCCATAAGAGTGGTCCACAGTCACCCAGCCCAGGTGTGACATAGCCAGGCTGTGGACCCTTATCTCATTTCTCAGACTTCACTCTTGTTGTCACACCATTTCCATTTTCCAAATATTTTTGTCACAGCGTTATCAGGAAAAGGGAGCATGACTATAATAGCGTACTGTTCCCACACCCAGAAAAGGCACGCTTCATACTGTGCTCATAGAGACATAACATATAAACTAAGACAGGGGAATTCAGCTATGGGGTCTTGTTTAGTAACATGGCCATAATCAACCAGGCAACCTGCTTACCAAATACCAGTGCAATACAGAACCAACAGTTGCTGTCTAATTCACGTTGCCATTGATCACTTTGTTAAAAGATAATAGAAGGTTTAACAGTTACTTGCTTGTAAATAAAATTTCCACTTCTCCCAAGAACTAATCTTGTCAGTGTCTAGATTGCTAGCAGTTTGTATTAAAAGGTAGCTTTAAATTTTGAGTGTCTCCTGACATCCTCCGTGCCTCTTAGGCAGTCAGGATGCCTAGCCAAAGACTAGAGGCAACCACATCTTGTCCGTGGCTGTATGACAGATAGCTTGGTCTTTTGCTCACCAGTGCCATGACTGAGGCTGTTTTCCCAGGTGCTTCGGGGAAGACGTGTGCATCAGTATCCCCGACATGGATGCCTATGTGATGGTGCTGCAGGCCATGGAGCCCCAGATCACCCTCCAGGGCACAGACCACTTCTGGAGACCTGCTGCCCAGTTTGAAAGTGCCAGAGGAGTGATCCTCTTCCCTGACATCAAGATCGTGAGCACCTTCGCCAAAGTTGAGGCTCCTGGGGACGTGAGAACCACAGGTACATGTGTGCTCAGTGTTGCAGGGTAAAGGGGCTGGATTTCTCATAGCCACATAAAGTCATGTCATACACCCAGACATCAGCATCACCATGGCAAAACCAACCGACCAAGCCCAGTGAACGGCAGGTGGGGAGTGAATGGCTTAGCAAATTACAGTGTGCCCACCGAAGTGCTAGAGGGAAGACAGTTGTGCTAAGTGATAATGAAAAAGAGGAGATGCCAGATGACATGGTATCTACACACAGAAGGATCTCAACCATGTAAGAAGAAAAGTACCAAGAAGGAAACACACCTAATGCTAGCAGTGATGTTCTCTGAGAGCCAGAACGAGAGCCAATTTCTTTCTGCTTCCCTTCCCTTTTCTGCAACTACAAAAATGTTGCATAGTGGGCGTGTATTATTCTGATAACCAGAAGAAAAGCTAAAGATGCAGAAAGAACAAAATATATTACTGCATCTTTATATACACGTAGTAAAAGTCAGGTCTCATTCAGCAATATTACTCTAAGCTCTTGGGAAACTTTCAAATTGTTATTGCCAACAGTTTCATTATTGGGAGGGTTGTGCAGTAAAAGTAGAATAATTCAAATTATCTGCCAAGGAGAAAACCTAGTTGCATGGAAAGCTACAGCATATGCTGGGGTGAGAAAGGAGGAAGAAAAAGGGGGAAAAAAGGAAAAGAGGGAGGGAGGAAACCTTCCTGCGTTACTCAGAATGGCCTGGGTCTAGGGGAAATAACCATTTGAGACCTGTCCTTTGCTGCCTTTTCCGGGAGAAGACTTTCAACCTTCCCTCCTTCCCTCCAAAAGCCATTGCTAATGATGTGCTGGTGGCAGTGAGCCTGAGTCCCTGAATAGCTGCCACTATAATAGTCCTAATTACCTATCGCCTTAAACCACCCTGGTCCCTAGCAATCGGGGTGCTTGAGGGCAGCTCATAAAAATAGATGGTGTTTTAGCACCTGTCCGGGCAGGATGGTTTCCTGGTTATGTGCCACAGTCCATGAGGCTGTGTGATCTCCCCTCTTCCCCTGTCCTCACTGTGGCTAAAATCAGACAGAAAAAGGAGGAAGGAGGGACCTCTGACCTCAGTGGTTGCAGACCGTGACTACAAGCACCCAGATTTGCAGTGTGTGACACCAGCTCATAGTTAGGTAGGGAAAAGCAATTATCTGGGTCCACATTTCACCCCTGCTTATGAGAGGTACATGCAGAGCACACTGCCGAGTGCCCGGAAGCTATTATTAGCACTGTTAAATTTTTACTCTTGTTGTTGAATAATCATTATTATACGTGTCTTAAACGAGCAGGCTAATGGCATCTGCCATGGGGCCTCAGTGACTGACCCCAGCATCATCTTCTGCCTCCATCGACTTACTCTTCATGCTGTCTCAATATTAAAGATGAGAGATTTCCCCCAGCATACACCCACACCTACATACACCCACCGCTCTTTGACACCTCTGTGTTAGCTGACACGTTTACTCTTTCCTCTTTCTAGAAGGTTCCTCTACCTCAGGATCACCATTATTGCAGGCAATATCTCTTCCTTCCACACCTCTTCCAGAAGACTTCTCCCACCACCTCCATGACCCCCAGGCTTACGTACCAGCTGCTCTGTCCACTCCCAACTATTGGTGTTTTCCTCTAGCACACAACATTGCTTAGCCCTTGGTGGTGATTGTCTGTTTATTAAACCAGGTCAGGAACCGCCAAGGCTCAAACCATAGCTGGTTCTCCTCTGGGTCCCGGAATGTAGCACAGTCCCCTCAACACAATAGGAATCCAGGAAACTCTATTGGAAGATAATCTCCCTAATATAATCACAAGAGAAGAATGAGAAAATGGCCGCCAAGATGCCCCCCTACCTAGTGCTAGCTCTCTGTCAGTCCCATCGGGAGACAGGAACCAGCACGATCTAACCCAACCTGAGAAGAAGCCGGCAAAAACTCCAGAAACTATACAATGGCCATTTGAAATAGAGATACACATACACTATAATTGGTGACCTTTCAAGTGTATATTATTGTGCTTTTATATTTTGCTAATGAAAACCAAAACCATTGCAACTGGGAAGCACTTAAAAATTAAGCATATAGAAATTATTTATCAAACATAGTAAGAACACAAAATAGTTTTAGTATCACTAAAAAATTAAATAAGATAAAACAATTATTTAAAATAATTCTCTCGTCTTTAGTATACCCTTTTTTAATTTATATGTTCATAAATGTTTTATAATATATAAAATATAATCCATTTTTATGAATAAATAAATACACTTATTTAAATTATCTTGGTTCACAAATTTTTCAATAAAGAGGTACAAGATCAATCCCAGCTACTTGGGAGGCCGGGGAAGGAGGATTGCAAGTTCAAAACCAGCCTGGGCAGCACAGTGAGCCCCTATGTATGAGCACACAATTAAACAGATATTCGAAGACTGTGGAGTCAGAGCAACATGGTTTCTATCTAGGCTCTTCCCACTTAAATTCTGAGTAATATTGGGAAATTCATTCTACCCCTCTCACTTCCCATTTCCTCACTGGTGAAATGGGGATGATAATGGTACTCCTTTTAACATCTGTCTGTTGGGCTTATTATTTGCACAGTGCAGAGCTCACAGCATGTAGTCCATAAATAACAAATTACTTTTAAGGTGGGCTTTTAATTTAGGACTTCCATCCTCTGTCAGGCATTCAAATACCCAGACATTCTTTGGAGAAATTTTATTTTTTTATTTTAATTTTTTTAATTGCCAGAAGTTGCACACAGTTGCCAGAAAGAGACAGAGGGAGAGAGAAAGAGAGAAAGCACCCTCTCCAGAGGGGATGGTCATGTCACAATCCCCTCTCCTCCATTTTTTCATCCTATTGGGGTTTAGGGCATGCATGTACATGCACCCAGTGTGTTTTATAAATCACCAGGGCCAGGATTTGAATCATGATTGGCCATGTGGATTCCAGCTCTCTTAACTACTAGGCTAGAGGGCCAGACATTTTTGAGAAATTTGAAGTCATAACATTAGGCAAGGACACAGCTAGACTAGCCAAGTTGCTAATGTGCTCCCCAGGAGAACAATAGTTATTGGGGCATTGGGAAAGTCATAAAGCATTTTTGCATAGAAAAACATGTCAGGATTTTTCCCCAATGACCTAATATATTAACTTAACTGGTTAATTAATTATTGTTATTAACTATTGGTTATATTGTGTTGATCTAATTAATCATTAATTCATGATTCCACTCCATTTTAGAAATGCTTAGTAGTAACAGCTCCGTGCCAGCCCCTGGGTTAAACACTGAGTACTGAATCATAAAAAGACGGTGCTTCTGCCCTTGAGAACATCAGAGTCTAATGAGAAAGGCAAATAGGCACAAAATGACTGCATGGAGAAAGCTTCAGTGCATGGAGTATGGCCACTTACTTCTCCCCTAAGTGACAGCTGTTGCTTACAAAGCACTTACAACGTGCCACACTGTTTTCAGTCCTCTCAAGACAATTACCCTTTGTAAAAAACAAAGGAGGAAACTGGGTGGAAGTAGAGTTAATGTCTAACACAACATAGCTTCTCAGTAGCAGAACTGTTATTCAAATTCACATCTTTTAACTACAGTATTTATGCCCATCCCATTAATTCATGCCACCAACCTTGGGGCTGTCTGGACATATGAGCAGTGTACACAGAATTTGACATCACATAGCTTCTCCCAATCCAGCCTGAACAGGGAGTGTAATACAGAAGAGAAAGATGAAGAGCAGGGACTATTGTCTGAGCTGTTCCTCATGCCTGTGTTTCCCATGTTTATCTTTCCACAGCCCCCAAATCAGCAGTCTTAGAAGAAATGCTTCACAATTTAGACTTCTGTGACATTTTGGTGCTTGGAGGGGACTTGGACCCAAGACAGGAGTGTCTGGAGCTCAACCACAGTGAGCTCCACCAACGACACCTAGATGCCACTAACTCCACTGCAGGTTATTCCATCTATGGTAAGGGCATGTGCCACCCCTTTTGCCCCAGTAGTGTCCCCTTGACCGCCCTTTGCCAGGGAGCCATGAGTGCAGTGGTAGCTCTCATCTGTGGAAGTGCATCGTTGAAGCCTTAGGGGCCAGGTGGCAGTCCTTGTCCTCAGGGCATAGATTCCTTTGGTGAATCATTCTAGCATCTTGGAGACCTGTTCTGCATCCTCACCCTTCTTTTTTTTTTTTTTTTTTTTTTGGGAAATCCCTTCCTCCACATTCTTTCTCGCG